ATCTGCAATCATTTGATGTCCGATTTAATCACAAGTATTAACAAGTATTTGACTGTCAAATTTTGTTTGATTGTGCCGAGCACTATGTCTGATAAACCAAATTTTTTGATCTTGTTGTTAAGTGACAGTAGAATAAAAAACTATTAGACTTAGAAAGTTCAGTCTAGTAACTATTGTCAGTTTTTCAACATATATTTATAGCCTAAGTTCTCAAAAGGTATTTATTTTAAACAATATATTAGTAATATGTTATATTGATTTATTTAAAACAATATTATTTGTTTATTCAGATTCATCACAAACTAACTCTGCTCCAGTTTAGCTTTACATTACCGATAATGCTGAAAGCTTTGGTATACGTATAATATTTCATTTACGTGTATAATTGTAACTAATGATTTAAAACAATACTTAATATAATTATATATGAATATTTGTTAATCTTTATATAACTTAATTACAGTAAATATAGTAAAGTTTATTTATACTTAAAATAAAAATAATATAATATAATATATAGAAATGAAAAAATATTTACAATAATAAATTTTGGTCAAATAAAGAAAATAAATTGAGCGACTAAATTTATGTTAAAGTTTAATTTGACATTTTATCAGTAATATGAGTGATATTAAAGAAATAATCAGGATAAGACTGAATAATATAGCAAAGTTTCCATAACATAATGCTAAGTAATAACATAAGCCAAACCATTCTGACATTTCGCCAATCAATTCTACCCATTTGAACAAAAATCCACCAAACCAGAAATGTCCCACCAATACTTTTCATCGACTGAACATTGTATACCGTACCACACCATAACGTACATGCATATGAAAAAATCTCTAAAATTAGATTCCAATGCTTATAATTAATGCTATCTATCAATAATGCAACATGGTACGTTAAAGTACAAAAAAAGAATATGCCACTCTCAAAAGGTGCTAACAATTTTGATTTAGAGATGTCTTTGTTAAATATGTATGTAGGTACAGAGAATGCTAAGAGAAGTAAGCCAGTAACAAATTTACAACGGATCAGTGAATTCTCCGAATCGAATCCGATAACTGCCATCGTTCCATATATATATCCTGAAAACCCAAGAATGGAAATCAATAAATAGACTGCCATTGTACCTATTATGTGAATTTGGTATTGTATTGCGACAAAAGCATAAATTAAAAAAAGGATTCTCAAAACAAATATATAAGTTCTATCATCATGACTCGACGCACGTCGCAAAAATGACCAAAACCATAATGGAGCCCACAGAATACAACCAGTTAATGCAATATAATCTCTTCGTGAAGTGCCAACATCGTAAATACGTGCATTAAAAACTATAGAAAAACAAACAATATGTGCGAGAGACTCCCAGACAATAACTGGAACCCAATACATGAAATTCAATATTAATGGAAAAATTGAAATTTTGAATAATACTGATAAAGAATATACGAATAATGATATAGATATAAACCAAATTATATTTGTAAAAGAAATAAATCCTGCAAAACGTTCATGATAACTTTGTTTTCGTGGAGCAATTATGTCATCTGGAGATGGTAAATGACTCTGAAGTTGATCAAGAAGCTCATCAGGAATGAATTGTTGCAAGAGCGAATTAATAACCTCTGAAGCAGTTAGGTCATTCTCTATATTGTAATATTTACTTAATCCAAATAATTGACGATATAAGTTTATTAAAAGTTCTTGATGTTCCCGAGCAACTAATTTATGCTGACTTGGTTGAAGTCTTAACTCTTCCCGTACAAATGTCAGCTGTTTCAACCTTCCAAAAGTTTCGAGCACTTTTATAAATTGAATAGGATCTTTTATATTACTAAGATGATCAAAAAATGCATTTACGGATGTTGGTTTGTCGTTTGTAGCATCGCTACTTTTACTTGAAAAGATACTGTGAACATTTCTAACAAATAAAAGTAAGCATATTAAAATATATATCGTAATCCATTTGTTGTGTAAAAACTTCATTATTTCAATTTTATAAAATCAGTTGACCAATTTTTTAGATGAAATTTTAAATTTCATTAAACAGCAGCATGAATGGGAAATGCGTTTATATATCATGTAAATGGTAATTATTACGTAATATTTATGGCGTGTTACGTGATATGCACATTCATTATTCATTTTAGAGTCTCGCTTATGGTAGTTTAAATGATTGTACGTACGTACGTACGAGCATTGAAAAGCAGGCTAATGATAAATGTAAGTCTTTTATATGTTCACAATGTTTGCATAATAGAATGTATATATATACGTATAGATAATGATATGAACAATGTATTAATACGCAGTAAAATGATTTATTACTGCGCTTTACAATCACACAATCGTGCAACAATCAGATGATTGTATGATCCCCCGATTAGGCTCCAGAATTCTGCAATTGCAGCGTATTTGCTGAATTTGTTGAATTTGCGAATTCGCAGTTAAAC